GTACACTCCTCTATCCAATAAAAAATATCTTTTGTGGACTTCATTCATCTTTTCATGGAATGCACACTTCCTGTCTGTTAGTCCAGCGCCCATTTGTCAGTCATACTCTCAAGTTTCTCATTACTTCAGAAAGTTATTACAAAGATTACACTTCATATTCTCCATAATTTTCATATTTTTATTTCTGTATTTTCTATGTCATATTGAAATTGTCACCCTTGAGACTATGCTTCTAAAACTGCATTGCTTGAACTGTCTACATCTTATCCAATGTAAAAATTTATTTTCCTTTATCAATCTAAATATGCTTTCAGATAACTGTTTTTATTGTCTGGCACATATTATTTTGCCTTTATCTGTATTTATGGGAAGATATATGAGACATGAAGAAATATACACTGCAGGTTGTCCAAATGAATAAATCCAATTGAAAATCATAGTGATCAATTCTGTAGCCAAATAATATTCTTATTATTCTTGTATGAAACAGGATTTTAGTATTTTCACAGCATTAAAGTTGTAGGTTTTTTTTTGTATAAAGCCTTTTCCAAATCTGTTTGTAGTTTGAGTCCTCATTCTGCCAATGCCCTATATTCAAACAAATGCTGCAATTAGTCTCTAAAATCATGCTATTAAATAAACAAAAAAAATTCCAACATTTATTCTTATTTGTTTCCTGAATGTAGAGACTCCTAGGGTTGTATGTTTTTTCTCTATAACCAGTTTCTAGGATTGTTAGAAAATCTTTGTTTGTTTGTTTTAAAATGAAAGCTGCAATTCACAGGTGTTCACATAATTCCTGATGAATTGTGTGAATGTTTCATGCAGAAAAACAGCTCTGAAACTCATAACTATGAGACTATGAAAAGAAAGAGTAACATGAAACTCCAAAATTAATCCAAGGAACGGCAACTTTTATTCCAAAGGATATCTATACAACAACTACCAGGAGTAACTATGAGGTATCTCAGATAATATCTTGTATCAGAGAACACTGAATGTGTTTAGATTATTCTGTTCATTAATTGTCAGAGCACTATGAAGTTCTAATTGGACTATTTGAGATACTATTACAAAAATATGAAAGGGAGGGAATTAATACTTGTTGTCAACAGAATTCTAAAAGAGAGAAATATGATCCACAGAGCTTGTTAGCCAGATTCAGTAAATGTATGTCAATACATTCTGAAATGGTTAGATGTCCTTCACTGCACATAACAGTAATATCCCTAGGCCACAGCTGCAGCATGAGCTTAACTCAGAACTCAAGGCTTTACCTAAAGCTCATCAACAGAGAAGCATACTGCAGAGGATTTCAGTAAGCATGAAATGCCAGCATGCCTGTCTACCCATGAACCAGAATTTGGTACGTGAGTCATTGGGTTATTCTACAGAAACAATAAGCAAAGAGAATTACAGCACATCCCTAGCTGGTGCCTACAGTCTCCCAGTGTTAGGAGGCATTGCCTGTTGGTATTCCCTCAAATAGAGTTTTTTCAATGTATTCTATGCTTCTTCACATCTGTTGTACCTGTCCTACATAAAAGATGACAACTTGTATACATGGTATACGAGTGTATACATCCCTCAGTGTGAACATGGTGTGCAGACAGAGTGAATGAGTTTTCACAGGGGCTGAAAGCAGGTAAATTGAACATCCTGTGGACTACACCTCCCTTCTCAGTGAACATGGCCATCATGCCCACATAAGAATCCTTATTCATTCCCTCAGGCACAGTTGCCTTCATCCCCTCCACCCATTCAGAACAAGTTTTAGCTCTTAATTCTCATTAAACAAATCAGTGAATAATAACTAAACTATTGCAATTATTATAACTTAGGGGACAAAACTGGTAAAAGACAATAGAGGAATTTTGTTTAATTCTAGAAAGTTGTGCATTTAAATATTTACTACAAGTAAATGTGCCAAGTGGAAACTTCCCCCGCCAAATATTTGTTTCTTACTGGCTAGCTCCTACTGTGTCTATCTCAGCATGTGAGAGCTTATCCAGAGAATATATAGTACTAAGGATCTTTTGCAAGTGAGTTAAATACTGTCCCTGTCTTTCTTGCTTCACTACACTTGTTTTGATCCTTCCTGAAAAGACTAACGACCTCTACCATCTTTAGGAGATCAAAAATACAACCCAAGATATCAAATATCAGGCAGTCAACTTAATAGCAAACATACATCCAAAAATGCTGGCTAGCCAGGTTTTTCGATTAATTCAGTTAAATTTCAGTAATATTTTTCCCTTCAGGACATGAAAGCAAACATTGGACAAACACACTTAAAAAACTTTGTCAAGGACTACCACTGAAAACACAATCTAAGTTGCATTCAAGGAAAGACAAGTATTTCAGGACCAATTGCTGCCTCTGTCTCTCTTCCTCTACTCCCCACACCACCCCTAAAAACCAACCAGACATCTTTGTTTAGATTTTGGGGCTTTTTTTCAAAAAACGAAAAACCCTCTGTGAACACTCTAAAGTGGAATGGGAAAAAATAAAGACCAGAAGCCCCTTTTTTAAATTACTGAGTTTAACCAGGTTAAAAACCTTAGAAACCTATTATTATATAGCATTATATAGAAAAACATATTATATTACCAAAGAACTACACAGCTATTTCTTATTCCACAGCTTGTCCAAAGCTCAGTTTTTAAGCACTATATTATAGTGCAGGAACAAGGTCTGGGAATCAGCATCTCAGCATCTTTCTAGATAGATTTCTACAGATGTCCTAAATCAAACTATATTTAGGGCAAATATTTAGGTTTTAAAAAGATAAAGGTTTACTTTTATACCTCTAGCCCTCTGGAAGGCTGTCATAGCTCCTTCTACAGACCACTGAGTTCAAGTCTATCACTTCATCAGAGTGGACACATTTTTGGAGGAGCCATAATGCAATGTTGCCAACACTTGCAAGAATTTGTATTTCTCTTACAGCCCCAAATTCCTGTAGCTGTCTAAAACTCCATTGTTTTTGCCTAAAAGAACTTCCAGTCCCTGAGGGTTATCCAGAAAAAACTAAATGTGACCAATACAACATGGCATCTCTAAAAGCTAAGTACACAGACCTCAAGGAATGTGTAGCCTTAAAACATCAGTAACATTGAATAGACTGCACCTGCTGTCACAGTACCATCAGCTAGAATTGTCTTGAAGTATGAATCTTGGTATGCCCCTTTTTCTGCTTGGGGCTCTCCTTCTTGCCTTTGGTCTCTCCACCTCTCAGATGCTACTTTTGCAGGATATACTAGCAATGACAGCTGAGCAGCACACCACTGCAAGAACCTCATCAGTTCTGCTGTGAATCTGTTCAGTCTTTGGGAGAAGCGTGCTGCATGCAAGTGCATCTGTCTGAAGCACATGAAAAAATCAGAGTTCCTAGTACTTTATGCCAAGGTCTTACATCCACCTATGAGTCTCCAGCTCCCCTTCATGCAGTGCTCTTTTATAAAATTTGCAAGGCATCACATCCACCATTAATCAGCAGTAAAAACATCTAGGTTTTCTCCTCAGTCCTGTACCATTTCCTGAAGGTCTCTTTGCAGTATTTGTGGCTCATTGGACTGGAAATCATTAAGAACAATGAAAAGTTCAGAAAACTAGTTACTGCTGGTGAAGAAGGGTGAGCACCCAGGTTATTATACCTCGAATCTGGATTTTATATTAATTCTTTTAACCTCAGAACCAGCTCACCCTCTCTGCATTTCAGAGCAGGCATTTCAAAGGGAGGGCTGAGGTTCAAATGAAACCTATGCATGGGATTTTCCAGGCATCTCATTTGCAACAAAAGAGCAATCCCACTTAAGTGGAAGTGCGGACACATGGAAGGGGAGCAGGCTTGCACTCTGCACTCCCTCACTCAGACCCCGCAGGAGCCAGGCCTCTGGGGCTGTGCCCACTGCCTTACCCTAGAGACAGGCTCCTTTCTCCAGGGCAGATGAATGGTATGTGTGGCATCAGCAGCACAAGGCATGCTGGGGCACCACATGGAGGGAAGCTAGCAACTGTGTGTAGCTGCTCTTGAAGAACCTGGAAATAAGGGTGAAAAATACAGACTAAAAACCCAAAATGAACAAAACCAGGATTCTCTTCTGTTTGCATTGAGATGCTTAGCACGCAACTATTTATTTGGCAAGTTTGCTACAGTCTCACTGTATTAAAAAGTCTTTGACAGAGTTTGAGCTTTTGCTCCTCCTGCCAAGAAGTTTCAAAAACCTAAACCAAATTAGGTGCTCCAAGTTTGTTAGAATTAAAATTAAACCCAAACACAATGCAGAAAGCATCGTTTCAACTGTTCCATGGGGAGAAAAGTAGTGAAATGAACATAACAAAAATACAAACGTTTCCTTATTCCTTCCTAATTGCCTAATTGGTTTTGAAAAAGCTAAGTGATTCAAGAGTACTTTATAAACACCAGTTCTCTTCGAGCAGCATGCAGTGCAAATTAAACCCAGTTAGCTCTAAAGCAAAGACTTCCTAGAACAAGCACCTAGCATCGGGATCCAAAAGTGTTATTAGGCATCTAATCATCCTTCTTTTCTGTGTAATCTGGGGAGCTCGTGGCCCTAGGAGACCACAGGGTGCCTGCCTGAGAGGGTTAAACAGGGTCACTGATTTCATGTGGATTCAGAACCCAACTTTGGTCCTTTCGCAGTATTAGGGCAGGAGGAAGGGCAGGCGGAGGAAGGGCGGGCCACGGCTCCGTCTGCAACGCGCCTCGGCCGGGGTCAGACCCGCTCCGGGGGGCCTCGCACCGGTTCTGCATCTGCGTCCCTCCCCGGCCCACGCCCGGGTTGCTCCCGGAAAACTCCTCGGGACATCGTCACTCTCCGTCGGCCAACTCCATCCCAGGCACTTCTCGGCAGCCTGCCCGGCTCCCCCGCCGCTGGGGCAAGGGACGGAGCCGCGCGGTTGGGCTGCGCCCCGGGGCAGCCCCCAGCCGGCCCCCGCAGGGGCTGCCGTGCCGCCCGCCCCCCGCCAGCACTCACCATATTACAGATGGAGGCGATGTTTCTGACAGTCATTAGTCTAAAGGTTGCAGCGATCCCACACCGCCATCTTTATAAGGTGAAAACAGCCCCGCTCATGGTGGGAAGAGCGCAGGAAGGGATAGGGGGCGGCGGCGGCTCCTGCTCCGGGGCTGGGATAAAAGCAAGAGGAGGGGACTGCACAGGCACCCTTTGCGCCCGCAGAGCGGCGAGAATGACGGACCTTCCCGGCCTCCCTCCTCCGGGCGAGTGACCGGGAGCTTCAGCAGCGCGAGGAGAGCGGCCGCATCTCCGCTCCTTCCGCCTGTGCCTCTCACACGGTCCGCAGGGCCCCGGGCTCCCGCTGGAGCGCTCAGCTGCGCCTCTGCGCCAGCCGGCACCGCGCTAATCTCTCCCTTCCTCCTCCTCCTCCTCCTCCTCTTCCTCCTCTCCCGGCGGCTGCCGTTGCCGCTCGCCGCTCCATCGCAGCGCCGCGCCCGCTGATGCGCTCTGACAGCGCCGGGGAAGGGAAGGGAAGGTCAGAGGCAGTGCCGGGCACGGGGCACCCCAGCGGGCCCGGCGGGGCGGCCGCCGCAGCCAATGCGCTGCGGGGCCGAGGGGGCGCGGGGGCGCTGCGCCCGCCGCCCCTCCGGACGGGCCCTCCGACAGGAGCCGCGGTGCTTTAGTCGCCGGGCCTGGAATGGCCACGGGGCTGGGAATCCCGGCCTCGGTGAGTATGCAGCCATACCGGCAGGCAGCAGGGTGAAGGACAGGAAGGCAGAGTGTGGGCAGGAGGACGTGGATGTGTGGCAAGAACGGCGGCACTGTGCTTTGGGACATGCTCACCCCACCTAATTAGGAGGTACACAGGAGCCCAGGCACTTGCAAAATCCAGAACAGTAGGCTGGAATGTAATTTACTGCCCTCAGTTGGTGCTTTGTATTGCCATTCATGCAGATAACATTTATCTTCACAAATGCTGTTTTGGGACTGTCTCCGCACCATGTGCTCACTCACAAATTCACAACATCTAGCATTTATACAGCACAGTTAATGTAATAATCTCAGGTTCTCTTCAAACACAAGCAAGTCGAGGCCCATGCCTTTCTCCAAGGCAGAGCAGTGTAAGTATATTAAATTCACACACGTGATAATAGGCACAAGGTTGTTAGATAGCTAACTGGAGGTCACATGGCAAATCTTTGAGAGAAGCAAGAGCAGAGTTCAGCTAGGGCAATCCTCATCTTAGAATTCCCCTTTCCTTAGCAGATGTTGCTTTTTTTCAGCAAGAGCTTAAGGCCTGTTTATTGTTCCTCTGCTATGCTGAGGAAATCATTCAAATGAAGAGAGAACTGCTAACATTTCTACAGACACCCCTGCTCCTAACAGCACCTGAAGTGTGGCATGCTCATTCCTGGCTACACCTTTCACTTCATGATGCTAGAATAAAATAATTGCAGCCTATAGAGCCTGGGTCCACAGGCTTTATTTACAGGAAACATTCTGAAGTCAATTTTTTTTTAATTATAATTTCAAACAAAGATCTATGATTACTAGTAAAATCTGGCATCAGCAGTAACATCTAAAGATAAACTCCTGCCCTGAAAATACTGTTAGGTAAGTGGCCTTAATCCAGTTCACAGTGGACAAGTGCCTCCTTTATAAAAATGGTATCAAATTTGGCATTAGTTGGTATCCTGCTGACAATTTCAGCAAAGAAACTCAAAATCGAGTTGCCACAGAGACAGAATTTTCTTTCCTCCTTAAGTTGGATTAATTATATTAAATCATTGCAGACATTCAACATACAGGATGGAGAAAGATTTTTGGACATAATTGAGTGAAGTCCTCAGGCCACTAAACTGCTTCATAAATCCACAAATCACCATGCAAAAGAGCCATTAAATAACATCACTGAGAAAAAAAATTATCTTTGGTATAATTCTATTAAGTTCATGCTCTTACATTATGTGTGAATTTGATCCCAAGTGTTTAATTTGCTTAAACTCAGAGGACTGGATTACAATAATATGACAGGTTTTCTCAACATAACCAGGGAAAATGGGAGTTAAGCCAACATGCCAGGACTGAAGCAATCAAGGTCTGATTAGTTTCCAGTGCATTTCTAAGTAGCCTGCAGAGACTGGACAGTACTGCACCATCCCTGGTTTTTAAACTGATGCCTGTTATTACACAAGCCTAATCATGTATTCTTTGCTGCAGCCTGCTTATTCCAATTTACTGTGGAGAATCATAATTGCTATCAGTGAAAAGTTATGGAACAAACAAATGGATTTGAAAGGTGATTAAAAATTTAAATGACACAAAATGCAGTATCTAATAAAGCTATTTGCTTAATGTATATTTTAATGTCAATAATATTACTTCCATAATACAAACCCCAGAGAAATCATAGAAAGTGTGAAGACAAAAGAGAAAAAAGTGGTATTTCCATACTTCTTTTTTTCTTAAATGCCAATTACTTGACTTCAGGGTGCGTTTTCTGTTGTTTCTTTTCGTTAAACCTTTTTGACACAAAATTAAATTGCTACTGATTAACCACTTACTGGTTGTTCAAGGGAATATTTGTAAATACGCACACACATCATTCTGTGAAGAATTCAGTATCGTATTCCTTAATGCTAATATAAATACTTTCATTTAAAGGTGGACACTTTTCTTGTCTTTTTTTCTGAAGATAAATAAATATAGAGAATAATATACAAGTGTATTTGTGTCAGTTTGAAAATAGTCTAGCACTGTCTCTTTTGCTCTTCAGACATATCAAAACAGGAAAGAAGAAAGAAACTTTCCTGCTGGAAATGGACTAGTGTCTGTTTTTGTTTTCTTCTGCTGTTGTCATTTTCAAGAATAGAAACTTTATTCCTGTAGCTGTTTGAAGATAAAAAAGTGTTAAGCAATGCAACAGATACCAGTTACAAACTTTATAGGAATTGTATAAATAAAGAACAGTGCACAATTGTTTCCACTCCAAAGCATTGCCCTATCTCCTTACAACAAACAACCAACCCTGTGTTTCTTCTGAGTGTTAGACAAAGAGAAGGAAAACAAAGGACTATTTATAACCTAAGAGTGCTTATATAATTTCTGTTGAAAGGTCAAAAAATACCTCCTGCATTTAATTTTAGATCTGTCTTGGTCTCATCTGGTTTTACACTTGAACATTTCTATTTCACTACATAAAATATGGACCTATTGTAAATATTCTCTTTGGCTAGCAGAGGCATGGATTTCCATAACATTTTCCATCAGACTTTTCAGAGTATTTTGCAAGCATTCACTCAAAGTTGTCAAATTATTTGGTGGCAAGTTAATATTAGCTTCTTTTACAAAGCAAGAAAATTGCCAGCAGAAATGAAGTGACTTGTCCAAAGTTAACACAGGAGAGTTGGTAGCAAATCTGAGATAGAATATCTTGTTCATTCTGTGCTACAAAGAGGATATTGCATTTCCTCTCCAGAAATCTTGTAAAATTCCACAGAGGGCTCATTTATGTTTTTCTTGTAATAAACTTGGGTCCAGAAGTGGGTAATCATCAGTCAGTTTTGCTGAACAAATGTTTGGAACAGATCAAATTTAGGATATATTTCCAACCAATTAAAAGGTCATTTTAATGGAAAAGGGAGTTAAAACAATACTAAGGCTTCCTGAAAGCATGGAAAATATATAATAATTATAGGAGAATTCAGATGTCTGAAATATTACAGTGCTGACAATGTAGGTTTAGAATTTTACAATTTTAAAAATTTTTTGTATCTAATATTAAATTATGTTCTACCAAAAAATAGCAAAATATCTTTAACAAAATGGCAAATGTGTAGACACAAGAATGAGAAATCAGGATTTTCCATGAAGCTTGGCCTCATTCCAGAACAGACTGGTGGCTTTAGTATAATGCCAAATACCAGCTTGCATCCTATGCATTGAATCTGTGGCACATGGCTCATAGCAGGTCCATGAAACCACTCCATCTGCACCTGAAATTCTAGTGGCAAGAGTGAGTTGCAGTCCATGAACAATTCATGGAAATCCATAGAAAATGTGGAGAGTCTAAAACCAAAATATCAACCCAACTTTGGAATTACTATTTTTCTTTAAGACTGTCATCTTCAAAGCAACCCCTACCCAACATTTTCAAATTATCTGAGAAATTATTTCTCTTGATTCAAAATACTGTAAAACTTCATGTTTTGGTGATAGTATGACTTGTCAGGATTCTAAAGACAAAGCATGGAAATAAAACTGCATTAAATTGATCCCTGAATCTTGTCTATCTTTTGCTAGTTTGAGCATTTTACTAGTTGGCAAGTAGAGAATACCATCTCTTCATTTTCTTCAGAAATTATTACTTTACAGAAGAAAACAAAACACCTTTATAGCATCTTGTGGAATCCTCTGACTCCTCCCCCTCAGGGACATCCCTAGGGCCTTGCCTTGGAAGAATACATCATAAAGTTTTCTCCACCTCAGCAGACAGAGAGGACTTAAGCCATGATGCTCTGCAGCACTCCTGCCAATCCACATTAGGTTGCCTCCCCCATTGGCCAGCTGACACTGCCCACCCCAATTACTCCTCCCTCATCCCCGCTCAGGGTGCTGCCCTTTGTCCTTTGCTGTGCCCTCAGGTCACTGACCCCACACTGAAGTCGTGCAGGCCACATGGTTCTGTCTTTTGTCTCTGGTCCCTTTGGCAGGGTGGCTGCAATAAACCCTTGCTGGAATATACCATGCACAGACCCTCCCTGTCTTTCCTCTGCTGAGCTATCTGTGGTGTGTGTGTGTGTATGGGCTTGAAATGGCTGCTCTTGAGGCCTCACTCTGAGCAGCTTCTGAAGGAGACATGTCAAAGAAGGTTGCAGCATTTCTACCACCCTGCCACACTGCAACAGCATCTGACGTCATCTTTTTTTTGGCCACACACCACACCTGGAAGCCCAAAGACAGCAGAACAAGACAGAAGCAAGTACATTGATGTTGAGGTACCAAAAGCTGGCTGAGTAGATACAAGGGGTCTAAGAGTTCTCTAGTGAAAGCCATTACATTCTATTCTATGAAGAGGCTGTCAAAGCCTCTGCAGCCAGTCCAAGTCAATCATGGCCTAGAGCTGTGATTATCTCATCAAACCTTACTCCTGCCCTTTTCCTTCCGCTTGAGTTTCAAATACACTGTGTTAAGACCTTGGAACAGTGACTATAATAGAACTTCAGTGTTCTGTAAGTAATACTAACCTTCCTCACACTCACTACTCAAGGAAAAATATTCCCAC